ATAGGAGCAAGGATTTCAGATGTATTTACAAAGAGTTGCTACAGATACATCAGTGTCAAGAGCTAAAGGGGTCTTTATACACTTGATTCTCGATATCTCTTTACTTTATACTGTTTGCTTTAAAAAAAAAATCCTTATTTAGCTGTATATTATACTTGAAATTTCGTAAGAGAGTAGATCTTAAGTGTTCCCACCACACAGACAAAATAGGATAACTATCACCTCTTCTTACAGAAACACCAAAATCACAGCTAACTGCTGAACAATCATTGACCAAAAAATGCTAGAGACTGCCAAAAAAGATATTTACATCTAAAGACAAAGAAGAAGCCACAGCAAAACAGTATGAGTGGCACAGTCACAATAAAAGCAAATCCCATACCGGTTGGGTGGGCAACCCACAAACAGGAAAATAATTATACCACAGAGTTCTCCCATAGGAGTGAAAATCCTGAGTCCTGGATAGGTTTCCAGTCTGGGGAGTCGGCAATGGGAGGAGGAGCTTCCAGAGAATCTGGCTTTGAAGCCCAGTGGGGTTTGATTGCAGGAATTCCACAAGACTGCACATAAGGCCTTGTAAACACTAGGACCCTTGGGAAAAAGGAGTGACTTCATAAGATCCTGGGTCAGATCTACTTGCTGGTTTTAGAGGGTCTCCTGTGGAGGTAGGGTGTGGATTGGTTGGGACAAAGACACTGGCAGTGATAGTTCCGGGGAGTACTCACTGATGTGAGAACTCATGAGGCTGCCATTTTCTTACCAAGACCTAGCCCCACCCAACAGCCTGTGGGGTCCAGTGCTGGAGCACCTCAGACTAAATAATCAACAGTGTCAACAGGGTAGGAACACAGCCCTACCCATCAGGTAGCTTAAAGTCCTCCTGAGCACAAAGTTGCCCACTAACCACACCCACAGGCATGGCCAGCCCACAAGAGGAACAAGACCCAGCTCCACACACTAGTGAACAAGAACCAGTCCCAGTCTAATGAAGCTCTTATACAGCTTCATTCACCAGGGGAAGACAGCAGAAACAAGAAGTGCAATTCTGCAGCCTGTGGAATGAAAACAACAATCACAGAAAATCAGACTAAATGAGATGGCAGAGTAATATGTCCCAGATGAAGGAAGAAGTAAAACCCCAGAAGAACAGCTAAAAAAAGTGGAAATAGGCAATTTACTTGCAAAAGAATTTGGAGTAATGATAGTAAAGGTGATCCATGACCTTGGGAAAAGGATGGAGGCACAGATCAAGAAAATATAAGAAATGTTTAACAAAGAGCTAGAATAATTAAAGAACAAATGAACAGAGATGAACAATACAAAATCTGAAAAATTCACTAGAAGGAATAAATAGCAGAATGTTAGGCAGAAGAAAAGTGAGTTGGAGACAGAGTGTGGAAATTACTGCCATGGAATAGAAGGAAGGAAAAAGAATGAAAAGAAATGAAGATAGTCTGAGACCTAGGAACAACATTAAATATACCAACATTTGCATTCTTGGGGTCCCAGCAGAAGAGGAGAGAGAGAAAGAACCTGAGAAAATATTTGAAGAGATAATAGCTGAAAATTTCCCTAACATCGGCAAGGAAGCAGTCACCTAAGTCCAAGAAGTACAGAGTCTTGGGCTGGATAAACTCAAGGAAGAATATACTAAAACACATAATAATAAAATTGACAAAAATTAAAGAAAAAGAAAAATAGCAACAAAGAACCAGAAAAACTGCAGCCAGAGAAAAGCAACAATATAAAAGGAAACTCCTATAAGATTATCAGCTGATTTCTCAGCAGAAATTGTAGGCCAGATGGGTGTGGCATGACATATTTAAAGTGATGAAAGAATCTACAACCAAAAATATCCTACCCAACGATGCTCTCATTCAGATTTGACAGAGAAATCAATAGCTTTATAGATAAGCAAAAGCTAAGAGGATTCAGTACCACCAGGCCAGCTTTCCAACAAATGCTAAACAAACTTCTCTAGGTGGGAAAGAAAAGGCTATATCTTGAAACAAGAAAATTACAAATGGAGAAGCTCACCAGTAAAGGCAAACATACAATAAAGGTAGGAAATAATACACACACAAATATGATACCAAAAAGCATGATAAAACCAAACAATCAAAATGGAAAGCATTGTTTCTTTTGCCTACTTATCTAGATCTGTTTCTTGGGAGTACTTTTCTTGGCAAAATGAGAGATGTCTCTTCATTTTCCTTGAGCAGAGACTTGTAGTCTTGTGCAGTGTGACCTGGGGGCCTGGCTTCTCACTATCTGTGTTTGGCTATAGTATCTAAGTCGGTTTCCTCTTGGGTCACATGGAAATGGCAGAGGTACTCTTACACTCTAGTCCGGGGTCTTCTTTGTCATTCATCAGCTTCTTTGTTATTTTATTGTACCTTTTATCATTTAGGAGATGAATACTCAGATTTTCAGACAAATTAGCTAGATTTTTGTCTTTCAGATAATGCTTAGCTCTCATAAACACATAGGAAATTTATCTGGAACTGCAGTGTGAAAATCTTAAGTTAGGTTTGAGGTGATGGTTCAGTTAAAGCTCTGTCTCTGCTGCAGAGATGAGCCATTATTCACCTGCTTTCCTTTCTTTTACACTAACACTTTGGAATATTGCTTTTGGGAAACTTGATCTGACCTGTAATGTTTACCTAGATGAATATAAACGTCTCCCAAAGCCATTAATTTGCTGGTTTGATTAGGCTAAGAGAATTGTCCTTTTACTAAGTCAGGTATTGTTGGGATTAAACCATAGACATAACCTGAAGTTTCAGAAACATGGGAACGAACAATTTCTTTGTGCACAATCTTGCATCTAGAATCCTGCTGAGATGAAGAAATAAGACACTCCTTTACAGGTGACAGGTGGGCTGATTCCTTGGGGCAAAAGTTGATGATGCCAAGCAGCTCTGAAAGGCCCCTCTGAATGCTTGTGGTTCAAGTTCAGGCCCCACCGAATGCTTGTGGTTCAAGTTCAGGCCCCACTTCTTGATCTTTGGTCCTGGGAAGAAATCAGGTTGGGTGTTAGAAATCGGATGGCTACTAAGCTCAGAGCCATGGTTTGTAATTTTGAATGATTTCGTGGAATATATTGCATATAAAAATGACTTGTCACTTATTTACCTTTCCACAACTTTGGAAAAATTAGTTTTGGCTCTTGATCATTGATTTTTTAAAAATGTTGGTAAAATACATGCAATATAAAATTCACCATTTTAACTCTTTAAGTGCACCATTTAATGACATTAATTATATTCACATTGTTGTGTAGCCATCACTGATATGTGAACTTTTTCTTCTTCCCAAACTGAGCCTCTGCACTCATTAAACACTAACTCCCCACCCTCCCCTCAGCCATCATCATTCTACTTTTTCTCTCTATGAATTTGACTATTTTAGTTGCCTCATGTAAGTGGAATCATGCAATGTTTGTCATTTTTGTCTGGCTTATGTCACATAGAATATCTTCAAGTTTCATCCATGTTGGAGCAGGTTTCAGAATTTAATTCCTGTTTAAGGCTGAATACTATTCCATTATAGATCTATACAGCATTCTCTGTATCCAATCATCTGTAATGGATATTTGGGTTGTTTCCACCTTTTGACTATTATGAGTAATGTTGCTATGAACACGAGTGTACAAATATCTATTTAAGTCCATGCATCCAGTTTTTTGAGTGCATTTCCAGAAGTAGAATTGCTGTGCTATATACTAATTTTATGCTTGATATCTTGAGGAACTGCCATACTCTCTTCCATCATTGCTGCCTCATTTTACATTTCCACTTCATCAATGACTTTTCTGTTTAATGTGAGGAGTAAATGAAAAGTTTTTATGAAATGTGACATTTTGTTTGGATCCATGGCTCCATTTGATAGTCTATTGAAACAGCCCAAGGTGGTCTGTTCAAGTTTCTCAGATCTTTAGGGCATTTTTCATAATTTTTTTAAACCAAATAAAGGGATTGTACAACCTAGGCTGTATACTTGTAAATTCAGCAGACCGACATTAAGAATACAGGTTTCTCACAGGAGTAGTGTTTTGAACATTGTACTCACTTACTTCAGAATGAGGGAACTAAGACCAAAGTATGTGGAAAGATGTCATATGTGAAATTAAAGACTGATTCCATATTTATAGTTCAAGTCCCCTAATGTCTTTCCTTCAGGTGCCCTCAACACTCACTTCTAACTGGGCTCAACTTTACTTTAGTTGAGTAAAGTCAAAGCTATGGTTTTTTCCAGTAGTCATGTATGGATGTGAGAGTTGGACTATAAAGAAAATTGAGCACTGAAGAATAGATTCTTTTGAACTGTGGTGTTGGAGGAGACTCTTGAGAGTCCCTTGGACTGCAAGGAGATCCAACCAGTCCATCCTAAAGGAGATCAGTCCTGAATATTCATTGGAAGAACTGATGCTGAAGCCGAAACTCCAGTACTTTAGCCATCTGATGCAAAGAACTGACTCGTTGGAAAAGACCCTTATCTTGGGAAAGATTTAAGGCAGGAGGAGAAGGGGATAAAAGAGTATGAGATGATTGGATGGCATCACCAACTCAATGGATATGAGTTTGAGCAAACTTCGGGGGTTCGTGATGGGCAGGAAAGCCTAGCATGCTGCAGTTCATGGGGTCACAAAGAATTGGACATGACTGAGCGATTGAACTGAGCTGAACTTACTTTAGTTGACTCCTAAGTTTAAAGCTATACACTTTACACTTCGAGTAGGTCAACATTCATTGAGAACCAGGATGGGGTATGTTGCTTCTACCTCCTATTCCTGTTTGCTGTCCTTGTGGACGGGGCTGCCACCACACTGAGGAGAGGAAGAATGGACAAGTCTCCCTAGAGCCCTGCTCTCAGGGGCCATCCTACTCATCCTGACACCACATAAGACCCCAGGGAAACATGCTTCATTTTGTTATGTTCTAAGAGTGACTTGGTATCATTGTAGGAATCCAGTTTGCTATTTCTTTTTCTTATTTCAGGCCCTTCGCCTAAGTAGTTCAGCCATGGGGAAGACCACCACAGGCCAGATAGTCAACCTGCTGTCCAACGATGTGAGCAGGTTTGACCAGGTGAGCTGCCCCTGAGAGATCCTCTTCCATGTCCCATCCTTCTCACTGGATTCAGCTTATTGGGATGCCAGGTGTCCAGGTTTGGTGTCAGCCAGCATTCTGTTGGGGGCATAAGACAAGAGTTCTCTTAATCCAACTCTCATTTTCTCTGTGTACAACTTAGATGTAATAATGTGTATTGTCCTGTGGATGAGAATTTTTTTTTTCTGAGGTTGCCTACAGCATAATGACAATAATAAGTAAGCAGCAGTGTTCTTGTCCAGCTTGGTTAGTGTCCCTGGGGATTCTCCTGGAGTGGCACTTCTTGATACGTGGTGTGGCTGTTGCTGTACAGTCTTCCTCTTCTTCCGGACGATGAAGGCCTTGTGGGCCGGGGTTGTTCTTTCCCATGTGCCCTCTTCAGTGCCTGCTGCATAAGGAGCCTTCAAGGACTATGCCAAGTGGGTGGTCCCCAGACAGACACCACCTACTCCCTGCTGCACCCCCACCACAGTCTTTTTTACACTTATGAATAGATCACATTACTCAGGGCACTATTGCTATTGGTCAGATCTTTTTTGTACTAGACTACTTCTCTTTCAGTTATTCATTCATGAAACATGAAGTACTTACTACATTACTTTTAGGGCTGAAAAAAGATTTAGTTTCTTCCCTGGAGAAGCCACAGCCTGTCAGGGAGGTAAATACACAGGTAGTTACTGGAGAGCATGGTGCATGCCATAAAATAAGCTTTCCTGGGATGCTGGGGAGATATGGGGGCTGAATGTTGGGACATAGAGATTTTGGGGATCCCCTGAGCTCATCTGCGGTGTAGACAAAAATGAACATCTTCCTTCAGTGCAGCTGGTCGGGTTCTCCCTGGACGTCCCTTAGGTTGGCCCTTTGATGCCCCGGCACAGCATCATCTGAGGTGTATGCTTGGGTTTCTGCTTTAGCAGGTTTAAAACCCACTGAGATCATTTTTGTGTAGGTCCATGTATGTTCCTTCAGAGCAGATTTTTTCTACACTGTGTACTTACCAGTTTTGCTTTTATATCATCCTAAGAAGACTTGTCTTTCTCTTTTAAGGTAACAGTGTTCCTGCACTATCTGTGGGTGGGACCACTGCAGGCTATTATCGTGACCGCCCTGCTCTGGATGGAAATGGGAATGTCATGTCTTGCTGGGATGGCAATTCTTGTTGTTATTCTACTTTTGCAAAGCTGCATTTGGAAGTTGTCTTCGTCACTCTGGTAAGAAAAACGCTGGTTTAAAAAATAGGTGATATGTGTGTGGTTTAGACCCTTCTGGCTTAGCCAGTGGATGCTCCAGCCTTAAACTGATCACTGATGTCAAAGCAGAAAAGGTGATGGCATTTGCTCTTTCTTCACAGCTAACTTCTAAGGTGCTATACCTGGATATGTAGAGTGTCCTTAAGTAGAATTTACCTATGTCCAAGTTTTTTAAACATTATTCAGTAGTAGTTTTATAGGCCTTTTCCTAGCTACATATATTTTTGTTATGCTTGTGTTACAGCATTTTTAAACATGTGTGTTCTTGTCTTGTTTTTAATTCAGTGTTTCCATTAAGTTATAAGCACCCCAAGGGCAGGGCTGATCTAAATTAAATATTATCTTTATAAAGCCCCACAGTCCCAGCAGCACATGTGATAGAAAAATGACTGGTGATGAAGGGATTAATGGTGATGAGTTAGACTTGAAGCTGGTCCCAGAGGGTTGGAGTGGGTTATTGTCCAACTTGTCAGGTGATGTTGATGAGGGAGTTGATGTATTCTATGAAGCTAGTTGAGTTATTTTATATATATGTCTGCATGTGCCTTTATGTGTGGTACTTTTCTCTATTTGGAATTTCCTTTCCTCTCTTTGCTATGGAGTGATGTTCCTTATCCTTCGGGGCCCTGTTCCAGTGCTATGAGGTCTCTGAAGCTTTTCTTGCTCTCTTTTCCCAGTGGATTTAATAGCCCCATCTTATCTGCTCCCCAGCACTTTACTCCTATTTTATTACAGCACAGACATTATCTTCCTGATAGATTCCTTTCTGCCTTCCCTGCCCAACCATGAGGACGTCCTTGGGCAGAGGGTTTGTATCTGACTCATTTCAAGTCTTCCTATCAGATGCTGCAAGTTCTCCAAGTTACTCCCTGAATTAGTCTGAAAGGTTGACTTCCTAGTTTCTTTGTCTCCATTTGCACTTTGAGTAGGACCTGCCTGTGTTGTTATCACAAAAGAGCTGTAGGGAATCATTGATCCCTGGTCCTTCCCTGTGCCCCCTGCTGCTGCTATGGGATGTTGGGTTGTGATCACTAAGTTTCATCTCTCACATCTGTCTCCTCAGGAGTAAGACTGCAGCTCTCACAGACAACAGGATCCAGACCATAAGTGAAATTATAACTGGCATCAGAACAATAAAAATGTATGCTTGGGAAAAGTCATTTATAGATCTTATTACCAGTTTGAGAAGGTAAGTTTTTGTATATATCACACCATATTTTTGTTTATTTCCTATTTTTACAGAATGAATTTAGAAATCTTACCAAGTTTTTTATGAAAATGAACAAATACTATCTGCCCCTTGCATATGGCAAGAGGGTCAAGTGGAATAGTGGAGACAACCTTTTAATCTGTTCTTCTTAAAGGAAAAAAACAAACAAACATATATATATATATATACACACACTCTTATATAGAAATGCAATTCCAAAACTTTATTTATACCACAAATCCCAAATAAGCAATGACTGTACGATGTTAGTATCTGAGAAGGTGATATTTAAACTAAAAGTAGAATTTTTGTTGATGGAGCACAAACAGGGAGATTGTAGAGATTGGATATACATGTATCTGGCCAAACTTTAAGAATCAGTATTCTTCATTCCAAACGGAGCCATAAAAATACTTTTTTTTTTTTTTTTTTTGTGGGGGTTGCTTTGGTTTGTGTTTGTAGATGTTTTCCCCATCTTTCATTTAACTGTCTGATGAGTGTTTATATTCCAGCACATGGTGCTGGGAATTCTCTGGCAGCTCCCTGTCATCTCTTACTTTGCACCATTGTGGGGGCCCCTCTCTCTGCTGGGGATACACTCTCATCTTCCTTTGTCTTTGGCCTCCTCCAGCTCTGACTGACTCCAGCTTATCTTCTCAGGGTTGATCCACGTCCATGTGACTTGCTCTGACTCCTCTGCTCTGGGTTACATACCTTTGCTCTGTACCTTGTGGGGGCTGTGCTGACTTCCTCTGTCTAATGTCTTGGTGTCTCATAATTTTGGGGTGTCTTTTTCTCTTCCCCCAATAGTTCATAAGCTCCTGGAGGGAGCAGGCTGTGTCTTCCTGTCATCAGTGAAGAGCCTGGCACAGGATTGTAGTTACAAACACTTGTTGAATGAATGTTCAAACTCAGTCTGCTTGACTCACAATGTCTAAAAGTGTGACACTAAGCCTCTTTTTAGGTGGGAGAGTGAAGTGGTGATGAAGTGTGTGGTCCTTGGATCAGGGCAGACCCCTGGGTGGGCACTGTGTAGTGTTTCCATGATATGAGGGATAGTTTATCTTAACCTGTGTCCACTCCCTAAAAAGGGGCCACTCACATGGGGCACTTGAATCCATGTCTTTGATGATGCTTGCTTTAAATCCTATGTCCTATTTTGTTTTCCAGGAAGGAAATTTTCAAGATTCTGAGGAGTTCCTTCTTTAGGGGTGTGAATTTGGCATTATTTTTCACTGTAAGCAAAATCATGATTTTTGTCACCTTCACGGCCAATAATATCCTTGACAACCTGATCACAGCCAGCCAAGTGTTTGTGGTGGTGATGCTGTTCGAGGCTCTGCGGTTTACAAGCATCCTCTACTTCCCCATGGCCGTTGAGAAGGTGTCAGAGGCTGTTGTCAGCATCCAAAGAATCAAGGTTTGGTGACAAATAACTTTCTTTAGTTGTAGGTGAATTTTTGTAAATTGCTTCCTTTTATGTGATGTCACCGTGTTTTGGTTTGATGTGATTTAACTCTCTCAGTGCCAAAGCTGGCAGTCTTTCCAAAATATCTTATGTACTCCCCTTTCTTCTTAGGTAGAGTCTTGCCTAGTAGCAAGAGAAGCAAACAGAATACATCTCCTGTGATATCTGGAATGACGATTAGGCAGTGACTGTGCTCAGTCCTGGGGTGACTAGATTCCTCTCTGGGCCGGGAGAGGAGGCACTTGCTGAAACCTCCCCGCTCCTTGGTCAGGAGAATAGCCTCAGCTTCACTTAGTTCTCTATGTTTAAAAATGGGTTCTTCCCTCCACAGATGCTTTCTTGTTGTTTACTGATCTCTGCCTTTTTGTTCCTGCCCTTTTTTTACCTATTGTCTAAGTCTTTTTCTATTCCCCTCTTCCTCTCAAGCTTGTGATTTCCACCATACCCACAGATCCTTTTTTTAACTAACTCCCTAAATTTTAGTCAGGGACAAATAATTTACATCACCAAGATAAGGGCCTGGCACACAATAGGCACTGAAATGTTTCTGTCTAAAATGAAGATAAATTGGTTCTGTGAGGCAGCCTGGGCACAAGCTTGAATGTCTGGACTTTACTTTCCTACTTTTCCACAATGATGGATGGGACAGTAATATATCTCTAGTAAAGTTAGATATCTCTGGGTATGATTGTATTTTATTTTGGGATCTTGTCATAAAGCTGATTTTTTTTAATGATGCACTTTTTATACTACACACACACACACACACACACACACATAAACTATTACCCATAAAATAGATCAGTCATACAGGGTCAGTTCTTGTTCCCTGAGTGTATCATTCTTTCTGATGGGAGCTTCTAGCAATACTGGTAAGAGAATGAATGAATTCAGTAGAATTTCTTTTATGAAGCTTTCACATCTTGAAATAAGACAGTTAGGAATATCCTTGAACCACAGTGATGTCCTCAGTGACATGATAGCCTGTTCAGATGGAAGCTTCACACATGTGCTATTCTACTATGGTTTTGTTATTGCTGCTGACACAGCCTCTGTCTTCGATTGCTGCTGCCAGGGCTCACTGTGTGGTCCGAGATCTCCTGAAGCCTTTACACATCATCTCATTTCATCCTTGGGTTCCCTGGTGGCTCAGACTGTAAAGAATCTTCCTACAAAGCAGGAGGCCCAGGTTCGATCCCTGGGTGGGGAGGATCCTCTGGAGAAGGGAATGGCAACCCACTCTAGTATTCTTGCCTGGAGAATCCCATAGACAGAGGAGCCTGGTGGGCTACAGTTCATGGGGTTGCAAAGAGTCAGACACGACTGAGTGACTTTCACTCACTCACTCATTTCATCCTGACCACAATTGAATGGGATAAGCTTTAGTGTCCCCACTTTACAGATAAGGAAGCAGGTTCCTGTATCAGGTGAAATAGCTCACCCATCCTCACACAGTTTGTGTTAATATTATCAAATGACAGAACTAGGATTCTGTCGAAAGTTTCTTTGTTACATTATTACATTATTACATGTCTTCTTAGTACTTTCAGGTATGTGGAATTTCTCCTTAAGTTTAAATTCACTGTTTCTTACAGAATCAAAATTTTAAGCTCTTGTTTCCCAGCATATGACCCTTGCTCTGGTGGAAGGGTGGGGTTGTCTCTGTGACCTGTCACATTCACCCCCACTTTGGGGTCTTGGCTCACCCTGTTGAGCCCCCCTGTGTTGCCTTCTCTTCTGTCCTTGATTTAACCAAATGCTGCTGAGCCTGCAGCAGCCCCATGAGCCTCTCCCAGCACTTCTGTTCATGCTGATCTAGGGCTTCCATATATGTGCATGGCCGGTCTCGCACCTCCCAGCATCCTGTCAGGTGGGGTGATGCTGACTCCCTGGGAGTGTTCTGAGCTCTGTGATAGCAGACTCTGTCTGGTAGTGCCTGGTCCATGCTGGACACATCACAGGCATCAAATAAATACTGGATTGACTGAGACAACAGTTACAGGAAATGGCTGGGACCCCACAGAGGCCCAGGGTGGCCCATCCTGTACTAGAAGCTTTAGAAATGCAGATGAGGGAGCAGACTGGGGTTAGACATTCCTGCAACATTGGGCTTTGGTGTATGTTTGGGCTGTCTCAACTCAGGAAAGTCTTCTGCTTGCTTTGTCTGTCCATCTGTGTATCTCAGACCAGCCTGATTGGACTTGGTGGACCTGATGTCTAAAGAGAGGAGCTGTGCCCTGTACAGCCTGGTGTTCATGTAGACTCTGCTGGCCTGGCTCCTGGGCTGGGCTCTTGGGGCTTATAGATAATTAGAAATAGTCTGTTTTACTTGGTTAACCAAGTTATTTTGACTGTCTTGCTGACTATCACGAAATGAAAGAAGATCAATATCATGAATCTTTATGCTAAAGTGCATCTCTAGACTGAAGAAGATCTTGAGACAGAATTCCCTCCTCTTTGGTGTTGGTCAGTCTTTTTCCTCTGAAGGGCATTGACTAATTGGATGAGACCCACCCACATTATGGAGGATAATCTGCTTTACTCAGAGTCTACTGATTTAAATGTTGACCTCATTAAAAACCCTTTCACTGTAATAACTAGATGAGTGTAGGTAAGTGTCTGGAACCTGTAGTTTAGCCAGGCTGACATAAAATTAACCATCACACCCCTCATAACCATAAAGCATGATTTTAGTGGGAAAAGCACTAACTCTGATTCCTTCATGGATTATGTGATGCACCAAAGAGTGTAGCATGAAAGGGACCCTGCAGAAGGTTTTCAGGGAATTGTACTAATTTTCAGGTAGGATTTTTTATTTCTTTTACACCAAACTACTACTGATTTGTGTCTGAGGCTTAAAATTCCTTTCTTTGTAGATGTGGGCAGCAATACAATGAACTGCCAAGAACTTTGAATTTTCTAGGGTTGACTTTGTCAAGCTGCTTTGTGTCATGATTAAGGAATCATCTTTGATTTGGGCAACAAACCTAAGTTTTTCCTCAAATACACAGAATGTCTTGTAGGAAGTTCGTCTGGGGATTTAGAGATTTGTCAGCAATAATTATTTTCAGTAAAGGAGGGACTAATGGCTGAGAATAAGAATGGTGAGAAGGGTTGGTATTAGTGTGGCAGATGGCTTCCTGGTAGGTTGAAGTAATTGGTGTAAGACTTTCATTTAGATATTAGATGCTTCTTCAGCCCATATAGTTTCTAAAACCTTTTAAAATATTTAGTTGTCTAGTTCATCAGAATCACCTGGAGTGCTTTTTAAAACTATATGATCACACCTTGGAGATTCTGATTCACTGGAATCAGATACCCTGCTGCCCAGGGTATCTATAACTTTAGTAAACATGCCTTTAGTAAAGGTACACTCTTGTGTACCTGAAAATAAGCACCATTTTGGAAACATTGCCCAAGTTGCAGAAAAAAGCACATAAAGCCAAAATGTGCTTCAGCAAATATAAAGGATATCAGGATCATATGTAAACTAAGATTAGTTGAGAGGAAAACCTATCTTGGTTTATGCTAGACTTTCTGGGCAGGGGGAGAAAATTTGGAATTTATTCATTCATTCAATCACTTATTCCACAAAATAACTAAGTACCTACCTGAAGCCTGGTGCAGACTAGAGGCAGGCTAGATGCAGAAAGGTTTTTCCTGTTTGGAATGTATGTTCATCAAGTGGGGGTGGTTTAATAAAGAATCAAATAGTGAAACTCACTGTGGACATGTATGTGTGTCATTAGTCCTTGGAGGGATAACTCCAAGGTGCCATGGGGTGCTTTGGCAGCGTTACTGGTGTAGTCTTGGAGCTCGTACTTCCTGGGAAGGCTGAGGAAGTTACCTGGAGAATTCCGTGTGTGGGGGTGAGGGAGATGGGAGGCTGATGCTTTGTGTTTTCCTGGGGATGAAAATGTGACACAGGCTTTTAGTGCACAAGAGCGGGATCCATGCTTTGGGGGAACCAAAAATCTCTAAGGCTGCAAAGTAGAAAGTGCTGAAGACCTGAGAAGGGGACCGTATAAGACCCTACAGGAAACATGAAGGTTTTTATCATCTCAGAGCTCAGCCTGGCTGCAGCCTGGGGAATGGGGCAGTGTGGTAGGGGGATCCAGAGCAGAGGCAGGGGAAATGCATCAGGAGCCTAATGCAGTACATGGTCCAGGGACAGGAAGATGTGGTTTGGTTTAGGGTGAAATAGAGAGACTTGGCCAGATTTGAGAGATACTCGGGGCACATCTTGAGTTGGGTATTGAGGGTGGGAAAGGTGGATCTCAGGCTGCTTTGGGTTTTGGGGGCTGTAAAATCTCTGGATTCATTGAAATATAGAATGCTAAGAGAAGACCAGATTTGGGGAGGATAAGAGTCTGAACTTGATTTTGAATTCTGAGAGGCTTTTCAAATACCTGATATTTGTTATAAGACCCACCTCACTGACCACCCATTGGCCTGATTAAATCTCCTTTCTTACTAAAACAGGTAGTAGATATCGAATATAATTAACAGATTGGATATTCACTTTTTCCCCTAACTTTGCCTCTCACTTAGATGTGTTCATGCCCAGTTAGAAGGTGGAGAGGGCAACACGAGTAGAAGGAAAGGTCAGCTGAGTTTACTGACCATGTGGTCAGAACTGGAGGAGGTTTAACCATAGGTGGTTTGGAGGTGTGGTGGGCACATAGAGTTTAGAACACAGTATGGTGTTGAGCTCTGCTGCCCTACTGCCTCCTGAAATCTGGGACTCAGTAGACTCATGTTCTGTTATGATGGTCATCTCCCAGGATGATCATCTCCCAGGATTTTCACTCAGGTCATATCTGGGATTCCTTGGAAGAAAACTTTCCACCTCTGCCTACCTTGGAGGTACGATTGTTTATACCCTTTGGGCAGATCTACATGTGGCTTCATAGTGTTGTGTCTTGTTGTTAACCCATGCTTTTCAATTTCCT